TGTCCAACGCGTTGAATGGGAAGTCCGGTAAACTGAAGCGAGTGCGGGGTTTCGGTGGGCCTAAGCTTATGGTGAACCACAACCAGAATCTGGCGGTGGATAGTCAGCCCCTAGTGTCGGCACCGGCACTCATACCGCCGTTTGAGGCGCTGGTAGGCGGCGCCGGTCGTGATTTGGCGCCCTTCGAGACAAACATGAATTTATTGAATAATAACGCCTTTAATAAACTGTTTAATGACTCGACTTTCAATGAGAGGCTACTGTTTGGCAGCGGAAGTGGTGGTAGCGGTGATGAGGAGTTCCAGTGCCCATCGGGTATGAATCCTTTGGTGTAGATTACATTTTTTGACATAATAATAAATAAAGCTTAAATTTTTAGACATTAATGTTAATATTACTTATTATGAACCTGATACCACCGTAATTTTTACTACTTTTATGATACTTAAAATAACAAACACTGACATTGAATTTGGTTATTTATACAATTTACCGGGTTTAGTAAATCACTGTTAATACAATACCATACACTGTAGTATTAATTAGCTAAATGTTAAACAATTCATTATACAGTAGTTTACCAGTAGTTGTACAGTACAGTACTGTATTACTGTAAACATTTATAGCATTAGTCAAATAGGCCTCAAATTTATTTGTTATTAATTTGTGTGAAAGCTTTTGTCACTTTCCATAATTAACTAATGATTGATATCTCGTCAGAAATCCTGGACCTGACGCTAACCGTGGGTTCAGACAAACAGAAGCGACGGTCCATTTCCATCGAAGATAAGATTGAGATCATCAAAGACATCGACGCCGGTATGAAACGGCTGGATGTGCTCCAGAAGTACTCGTTGGCCGACTACTCGAACCTCAACACTATCCTCAAGAATCGCGACAAATACCTGTCCAACGACTCGAACATTAAGAGGAAACGTATGCGCGAAGGAAAGTATGGCGACGTGGAGGAGGAGCTGACGAGGCGTGTGGACCAGTGCCTGATGG